GTGAGTGACACATTTGCATATCGGAGTCCCCGCAACAAACACGTTTCTACGCTTCGCGTATCCACGAGTTCAATAAAAACGACTTACTTCGAGTCTAGACGAATTAAGTACGACCAACCTACACATGACCGCTCTCATGTGGCTTTGATAGCTCAGTTGGTAGAGCATTGCACCAGTAACGCAAAGGTTGTGGGTTTGAACCCCTTTCAGTGCCTGAAATTTTTTCTGGGTCATTTTTCCGGTAGTATTATGGCTGCGTTCGCATCTTTCATTCTTTCATTATTTAATTGCTACTGTTGGGCATCCATTACCATAAAAATGCACGTTTTACGGCAACGAAAACCACGGCATTACTTCCTTAAAACTGATTTGCCAAATAAAACTGAACAATACTGTGGACAGGACTTGTTACGAATGGAGCGTAAAGACATTGAAAGAAGAATATATAGCAGACTAAGTAAAGTCAAGTAAGACTTGCATGTAGGGTTTAATTAGACTGAAGGAATGTCAGCTGATGGCTCTAAAGAACGTGGTCAGAGGCGGTCGCGAAAACCTGATTAAGACAGGTTATTTTGGATGAATAACCTAGCCGTGATTCCCATGAGTGGCCACGGAGACGAAGTCAACAGAGTCAAGTAAGTTAAAGCAGGGAATAATTATTTCCGCCATATAATGGCGGTTCCGTTTGCTTTCGTTTCGTCAATTTAATCACGCTGAATATTAACTTAACTGAAAATAAATGTGTCTCACACGTAAGCTGATCTCGTGGTCAGGTTATCAGGGATATGTTAATTTTCGCGCTTTCGATTAGCGTAGGACCTAAAGTACCTAAACTGGGTTAAGTTAATTTATTGCTTTGATCGGAGATGATCGGTGATCGAAAACAATCAGAAACAAACAAAGTTTTTCTAACGGTTTCACTGATACAAAAGGTAATCAAAATATATTTTGACTCGCGGAATTCTAGAGGCTCTAGAATCGTTCTCAATATTTATGCTTTCACGTCTGACAAAATTACAGATGATCAGTTCTTACTTAAGTCAAAAGTCCAACAGAAAACTGTGGGTGAAGAAAAGGAAAATACAGTAAAGCTGAAATGCCCAAGGTACCTTTTCCCTCAATTTTCTAGCGGCACATTTGACTCAAGATAGGAGATCTCTGCCAGTACAGAAAACACAATTCAAGCTCCTTGCTAGGCCTAGATATACCTTTTCAGGAATTATGTGATCTTTTTTTTTTTTATGTCCTATATACATCCACTACTGCATTCTTCTTGAAAATTGTTAAACCGGGGACAAACAAACACAGCGATAGCTGATCGACGTGACTAAAACACCACACGCGTGCATACGAGTAACACACGAGGACATACGAGTAACATACGACTACATACCGGCGACCACATACGAGTAACATACGAAAACATACGAGTACATACAGACACATATGGTAATATACAGGTTATACATTAATACATTGGTTTACATACGAATACATGGGAGCAACATACGATGACAGGAGGGTAATAAACAGGAATTGTACTATTTTTCTCTTTACATTTCATTTTTACATGTGCGCGTGTCATGTCTGGCACACACACCTGAGCGAGCGCAAGTGCCACCTACGCGCGCGTACCACACACATGCGCCTGTGCCACATACATACGTTCTCCATACGCGCGCACGTGTGGCGTGCTTTTACGCGGGGGGAGGGTCTCTTTTCATTCAATGAATTGAACTCCTCTCCCGTTCCTTAAGAAAGGGGTAAAACAGTCTGAATTTCTTTCAAATTTGCACATTTTAGTTATTCTCTTGACATAAGTACATTTAAAATCCATATATATTTTAATCCAAATTAAATTTACTGGTTATGTACCGTAATATAACCTTCCATAGTGCAAGTCAAAAAACGATTCAATAAATCTTGGAAACAACAACACTACTTTGAAAAGAATTTTCCACTTCACAAAGCGTTAACCAATGTATGCATATTGTATATTCCTATGTATTCGTATGTAACCAATGTATTCGTATATAACCTGTATATTACCGCATGTGTCTGTATGAAGTCGTATGTTACTCGTAAGTAGTCGTGTGTTACTCTTATGTTACTTGTATGTAGTCGTATGTTACTCGTATGTAGTCGTATGTTACTCGTATGTAGTCGTATGTTACTCGTATGTAGTCGTATGTTACTCGTATGTAGTCGTATGTTACTCGTATGTAGTCGTATGTTACTCGTATGTACTCGTATGTAGTCGTATGTACTTGTATGTTACTCGTATGTACTCGTGTGGTGTTTTAGTCACGATCGCGATAACTACAATCGCGGATAAAACCTGTTGAGACAAAGAGATATCAAAGCCACTCTCCTCAAACTGCGATGCGAGAACGACACCCTCAGCCCAGAAATGCCCCATCTCACCCTACCTTCTCAATGTTGCCGTTGCTTTTTGGAAAATATCTTTTGCGACGAACCATTCACGCAGAAAGCAACATTGAAAGAGGGGAAGGGCGAGGAAAAGTGGGTAATAAGAGTGTCTCATAAGTGTACATTTGAGTCAGTTGTCTCAACAGTTTTGTCCGCGATTGTAGCTTTGGGCATCGGTGAATGTCCAAAACCCAATTAATATCTTAGCAATAGCTTTCTGTAAAAGTTCGATTTTTGAACAAGGCTGTAACAAGAGCTACCAAGACCGAGCAGTAAAGAGGATATGTAGCTTGTTTATTTGATTAACTTCTGTCCCCCTAAAGAAAGTTCCAGACTATACAAAAATCGATTTCATCTCATTTAATTGATCTGGACTGAGCCTACAAGAAACTAGAAGTGGAGAAATATCTGTTTGTTTGATTTTCTTTTTGGTTAGCTGAATAATTTAACACAGAAACTTTGTTATAAATCAATTCATTCACCTTCACCCATCTCTTTCGTGACTAGGAGTCACGTAAGGCCTCAATTTTTCATGCTAGTCGGTTTGAAACTAAGTTAAAATAACATTTGTCACTCTTTTGTAGAAAACGGCTAAAAACTCAATAAATATGCGGTTTTATGTTAAAGGGAAATCAGTGCGTGTATTGATTCAATCCAGTCTGTATTTGTCTTCCTCTATCAGCTCCGAGACTAACTGCATGTTGTGTGGTTAGTGATGTCATATCCCTTTGCGAAACGAAACGTTACGCTGCGCTAAATCTAAATTGGAGCCAAAGAATCTCTTATTCCCTGCATGGAGAGAAGGAAATTTCTCTCATTCACGCTTTGGGGAAGAAAGAGTTATTCTTTCCAGGAAGTTCCTCGCAAGACTTTTCGCTTTTGTTTTTATTTTCTTTCTTTTCCCTGCTAGATACTTGTTTCCTTTTCTACACTCTATTTTTTAGGTTTCGGTGTTTAAACCTTAAATATCTGCAAAACTTTGGATCGCAAACCCCTGTCTTTTCACAGCTATATCGCCTGATTAACCATTCAACGCACTTTTTGCGTTAATTAGTGGCCTTGCAGTTTTTCAGTTGGACCTGATATAGTAGAAAAAGCAGTAACCTTTCGATTTGACTTGGGAACTTTCAATGAACGTTAATTGGAATTGTTTAAGTATCCTGAACAAGACTGTACATAACTACATATTGCAGAACAGTTCGAGACATAGACCATTAAAATCGCTAACATAATTAAGAAAGTTGTTCCGTATTCAAAATCATTATATCTTAGCTTTGAAATTAGCTAAGATGTACAACATCTTCCAAAATATGTTTATGTTATGCTTTAGAACTATATACCAGACCTTTCGGAAGATCAGATGTTCGGGAAAATTTCATAAAAACACCGTATACATCTCAGCTGAAGGTCAAGCTCTTTCAGTATCCATGTCGCCTGATCAGTGACACTTATGAAGCTCGTCAGCATTTGAGGAATGTTACCAATCTTGTTTCAAAGATCTCTATTTTTCCTACCTCCTGGAAAAGGAGATATTCTGGGAACAAGGTTCGAATATTGGCGGGTCATTATAAGTCAGTCTTTTTTGGCAAACGCTTCCCCTGGTCTTGAAAAAGCCTGAAACACTAAATATTGACTTGATAATTAATTGTCATGGATAAACTCAGCTAACCTTGCTGGCTGGATAAGTTCCAGTGTAATACAATACTTACAGACTTATTTCGCAAATGGCACCAGGAGAGCACGTGATGTGAATCATGAGACAAAACTCCATGTCTGCCCTTTAACACCCAGGATCTTTATTTACCGCCGTCTGATTGGATAAACCTCCAAACTAATAAATATCGGTGTCTCATGACAGTTCTAGCTAAGCTGCCAGCCATTCCGGAATATTTTTGTTGACTTCAGTTTTAGTCTGCTTCAAGCGAACTGCGTTGGCACGTCCCAAACACTTCCACAAGCTCAACCGTATAGCTTATAGAGTCGGCCAGCCTGATCGAGTATTTGTACGAATACAAACCTCAAAAATGCTTCTCCACGTTGGTTTGGCTTTGGTTTTCTTCTCCAGCAGTTTCTTAACAGTCAGGTAAGACAGAAACTGAGATGCAGTTGTAGCGACG